CCCCAAAACCCCAAAACCCCAAAACCCCAAAACCCCAAAACCCCAAAACCCCTTCATAGTCTGGTCATATTGAAATACCGAATAATTTACGGCGACAGTCTGTGCTATCCAAGCCTTTTGAGGTAGTCCTCGAATTCAGGGTTTTCGGAGTGAGCTGGAGAGTCACTTCTCCTTTTGTCAGGCCGAAGATTATACGGTTCTCCCAAGTCCAGTGTGTTATTAAGGGTGTAGGTAGCGCTTTCTCCTCTTGTCAATGCATCAGGCGAGCACAGACTCATGGACCTGCCTCCGTAGGCTTCTTCGGGTTCTTCGTTATCGTCTTTGTCTTGTTCTTCCTGCTCCTCCTTGGTGTCCTCGTTGATCTTAGACTTAAGGTGTTCAATCTCGACATTGTCAAGGCCTCCAAGCGACTTGCTGAACTCTTCGAGCTCTTTGATGCTGTTGGTAAGCTGCTTCTTGTTTTCTTCGAGTTTGAGAGACCACTCTTGCTTCTGCATAAGAGTGTCGAAGATCTTCATGTCGAGGTTCATCGACTTCTTGAGAGTCTTCATGTGTCTAGCAGCTCTCCTGTTGATCACAGAGTGACTTCTGATGACAAACTCTTCAAGAATGTAGATCCTCTTGATGAAGTCTTGTTCTGACTCAGCCCACTTGGCTTCTTTGCGTTTGTAGTAGTTAACTTCAGAGGTTCAGTCTCGAAGTTGTTTCTGCAAGTCAATAATCTTTGAATCCATGTCGTCAATCTGCTTCTGGAGCTTCTTTTCTTTCTTGGAGGCTTTCTTGTTTTTCTTGCCAGAGAGCAAGTCATCAGCTGCCACACTAAAAGACTGGTTCAGGGTGGACATGTCCGATGTCATCGTCTGAAGCTGGTCGTCTTTCTGAACACTCAGAAGGGTCAGTTGCTCAATAACTTTGGAAGTGCTTTCTGCATAATCAGTTTTCTCCTTTTCAAGCTTCTTTATTTTGGTATGAAGTCCATCGATTTGTTTCTGGTTGTCGTTTTTGACTTCGTTAACCATGATATTGTAGAAGGACTCAACGGTGGCGCTCGAAAGTGCCTCTTGGATGGTGCCAACTTTGTCGACAAGCTTCTTGATCGAGCTCGTTTGGTCTTTGTAGAATTGCTCGACATCTTGGGCAAGTTTGAATCAATCTTGCTTGGCTCCGCTTCAATGAGAAGCTCATTCTTTTAAGAAGTCGGCGAGGTTGGTGGACTCGGCAATGATGAGGTTACCTTTATCGTTGAAGAACGAGCAGTCCATAAGACTATCTTCCTCTGACATTTTTATATTATATATTGTTCAACAATGGTATATGAAATAGGGGTTTTGGGGTTTTGGGGTTTTGGGGTTTTGGGGTTTTGGGG